GGTGGTCGGGGACGTAGGTCGGGGGACCGAACCTCGTGAACATATCATGTGTCGCTATTGGCTAACTATTCTCTAAACTCTTTCTTTATTTATTGTCTTTGCATTTAATTTGGTTGGTGTGTTGCATTGACAAATTTTAATTGCACGTTTATTGTCACATTACCCTATTCACCCCCCTCTAAGGTAATTTTATTTGGTATCAGAGCGATGTCTCTATATATTTATTAGGCCTAACTACCTTAGAGAAAAGATCCAAATATATTCTACAATGAATGTGCATATGCTTGATGGTCAATCCACCACTAGACCCCCATTGTTCATTGGCAATAATTTTGCATATTGGAAATCTATGATGAGAATTTACTTACGATGCATTGATCTTGACATCCTAGAAATAATAGAGAAGAAATATGTTGAGAAGTCTAGTAAATATATGACCGAGCATGAAAAGTATTTGGCTAACATAAATGTTAAAGCCATGAACGCTTTGATTTGTGGTCTCACCCCAAATGAGTACAATAGGGTCTCCACATGTGCAACCGCACATGAGATTTGGGAGAAACTATGTGTTACTCATGAAGAAACTGTTGGCCTTCTTGTTTTGATGATGTTTAACAAACAATTTATAACTAATGTTGTTTGTCTAGTGCTTTATTGTAGACAAACAACGTTGTTGGAGGATGGATGGAATAGAGCTTCAACGATGATATCCAATGGAGGTTGGCGGAATGTCGGTGAAGCCTTGCTATTCAAAGTTCAAGATCCAAATTAAAGCTTCATCCGAGAGATTACCTAGAAGAGCTTATTGAAGATCAAGATCTAGCTTGGGTAATTTAGTTTAGGGTTTATATTATGTGTGTTTAATACGTTAATCTCAATATCTATACACACACATTTTATTGGTTTCTTTGTATATATATATAGTTAGCTTGGGTAATCTAGTTTAGATTTTATATTATGTGTGTTAAGTACGTTAAGCTCAATATCTATACACACACATTTTATTGGTTTCTTCGTATATATATATAGTTATATATATACATAAGTTTTGGTTTCTATGCATATATATATAGTTATATATATACATACATGTGTTTTGAGTTTTTATGATTATATATATGAAATTATATATTTCATATTTTCTATTGTGTTTTTGAAAACATTGCATAGAATATGCAATTTTGTGAAAATATTGTTTTATTAGTTTATAGACTTCAATATCAGTTCATACATGTTTTACTAAGTCTATAATATCATTTTGTAAAGTTTCAAGAGTTGGTTTAGCCAAAATGTCAAAATTCACATGTTTACATTTTCGTGTTTTGGACTATTTTGCTAAATGATGATATTTTTTATTGGGAAGTTCTTTTTCAAAACCAGTCATTGTAGCATGTTTATTATCATGTCTACAATCATTCTCCAAAGTTTTACATTTTTTGGAATTTATTTGATATTTTTAAACAGTGTTTCAAAATCAGATGTACAGCTTTCAAAACTGTTTTTCAGAAGTATCAGTATTCGGTCGACCACACCGGTCGACCGAACCTGAGGTCAACGGTCGACCGAAAAACTCCATCGGTCGACCGCACCGGTCGACCGACGATGGTCCAGAATGTTTTCCTCGTGTTTTTGCTCTCATCGGTCGACCGACGGATTTTTCGGTCGACCGACAATAGATCCGTTGGGCACAACGGCTACTTTTCTGAGGAGCTTTCTGGGGGCTTTGTTGTCCTTTGGCTTGGGATTTTTGGCTGAGTTGTGAGAGGGTATAAATACCCCATTGTCTTCAACTCTTAAGTTGATCCAACAATGTTTTAAAATAGTTTAACAATGGTTTAAACTTGTTTAGTGTTTGTTTAAGTTTGGTTTAAGAAGCTTTTAAGCAATTGAGGGTTTGAGTTTGTGAATTCAATTTCACAAGAGCAAGTGGTCTTGTCATCTATAGAGAAGTTTCCTTAAAAACTCATCTAGCAATTTATTATTTTGATTATAATTTCATAAGCTAGATTTCATATTGAGTTTAGTTTAATTGTTTTATTAATACTCTTTGTTCACACACAACCTATTGAGCTTATTGTATTTACATTCATAGTGTAATTTGGGGTTGTGGGTTTGTGACTAAGAGTTGTGCTTAATTGAGTTCTCATCTTGTTAGAGAGAACAACCATTTGTTAATTTGTGCTTATCATGAGAATCACTTTGTAATACACTTGTACACCGAGTGAGAAGTGTGTGGTGAGAGTCGGGGATCGTCCCAAGAGGAGTGGCGTCGGTTGACGTGCCTAGGGAGAGGTTGTAACCGAGCACTTGAGGGAGACACGGCTAGGTCCAACACTTAGTGGGTGTAGAGTGTGATTGCAAGAGTGTGAGTTGTAGAGTTTTCGGTTAGCTAGAAAACCGAGTGTGTAGAAGAAGTTCCGGCTTCCATATCCTTACATATATTTCACTATATGCCTCTTTGCTAGGATATATCATATTGTATATTGCTTATCCTATTTCATATATATTGTCGTATTTTATACTTGCTAGGATAACTTGTTAATTAATTTTAATTGGCATTTAAATCAGATTAGATTAGCATAAGACCCTTAATCACCCCCCCCCAATAAGACCTAATTCACCCCCCCCCCCCCTCTAGGGTCTACAGAACCCCCCAACAAGTCAAAGAGTCCAAAATTAGTAGCATCATGCATGATTATGAGTTATTTAAGATGCTTCCTAATGAGTCAGTTGATGCCGTGTTTTCTCGATTTACTAACACTGTTAATGAATTGCATGGCCTTGGCAAGGTGTTGGAGAACCAAGAGAAGAATTACAAAATTCTTTGCTCTTTAACGCCGGCATGGGAGCCCAAAGCTACGGCTATCGAGGAAGCCAATGATCTCACAACGCTTACACTTGATGGTCTCATTGGCAAGCTCAAGATCCATGAGAAGAAGATCAAGGAGAAGGAGGAAGAGCCCTCATGAGCAAATGAAGAGCCTTCCCAAAAGATGAAAACTATTGCGCTCAAATGAGCAATTGATGATTCCTTCTTCCTTGGATAGTGAAATAGATGTCTCTAGAGAAGTGACACACCTCTCTAGAAGGATATCAAGATTAATAAAAATAAATAATTTTTTAAAAAATCGCTCTAACAAGTTTCCCTCTCATGTAGGTAAATGATTTGAGTGCAATGAATTGGGACACATAGCAAAGGATTGTCCCAAGATAAAAGAGAAGTATATGAAGTACAAGAAGAAGAAGGCGATATGTATGCAGGATGGGAGGAATCTGAACCAAGTGATTCGGATAGTGACGAAGAAGCTGCCAAGATTGCTTTTCATGATCCAAACATATGTTTCATGGCTCATGAAGATGAGGTACAATCTGATTCCGATAATGAATCTTTTTATATGCAATGTGAACTTGGAACCGCACTAGAAGAGTTGAATTTTGAATTTAAAAAATTAGCAAAAGAACAATCTTCCTTTAAAAAATGCATTATTCATGTGACTCAAAGTTTGAACTTTTACAATCCTCACTAAATGATGTCATTACTTTAAAAGACAAGATAATTGGAGATCTTGAATTTGAAAATAAACATTTAATGTCTCAAATTGAAAAATTAAAAAATGAAGATAAAACTAATCATGCTTCTTCTAGTAATATTCATCGCCTAAGAAGAGCATGGCATCATAGATCTCATGCCCCCACTTATAAAAAGGATTTTGTTTACACATATTGCATGAGACATGACCACACGTCTACACATTGTAGATTTAGAGATAATGTTTATTATTATGGGTTGATGTGGGTACCTAAGGATGCCAAAAATACTAACATCCAAGGACACAAAGTTTGGGTACCTAAAGATTTTACAACTTGTTTACATATAGGGAACATCTCGCACAAGATGTAAGGAATTGTGATACCTTGATAATGGTTGCTCTCATCACATGACGGACAATAATGACTTATTTGCAACCCTATCAAGGATAGAAGGAGGCAATGTCTCCTTTGGTGGCGGTAAGAAAGGTAAAATTGTAGGTGTTGGTAATATTGGTAAGATACCTTCTCCCGTTATTGATGATGTTTATTTGGTAAAAGGACTTAATCATAATCTCTTAATTATTAGTCAACTTAGTGACAAAGGCTATGATGTTGTTTTTAAACAGGATAAGTGTATCGTAAGGGGCTGTTTGGTTCGTTTCCTAAATATAGGAAAATACATTTCCATGTATAAAAACACAAGTTTTGAGTTTTCCAAACTTTTCTAAGAAATGAATTATTTCGCTTTGGTTCTCACAAAAAAAATGATGGGAAACCAATGTATTTATTTTTCTTGTGTTTGGTTCGCATGGAAAAAAAGGAAAAACTCCTGTTAATATTACATTTCCCACTTTTCTTGTGTTTGGTTGGTTTTGAAGTTTGTAGTGAAAAGTGTTTATGAAAAAAAAACCGACGTTGCTGCAGTTTTTGTTGATTTCACGAGGTTGAGGAAGGAATTGGGGAAGAGAAAAAAATCTGATGTGACGACGATTTTCACCGAGTTTCCCTTCTTTAACCCTAACGAACCAAAGATGGGGAAAAAAATCGATGGAAAGCTTAAATCCTACGAGGCCACGAAAAATCTGGTGTGGAGGCAGTGTAAAACTTTTCCACCGAGTTAAAAAACGAACCAAACAGCCCCTAAGTCTAAAAGATAAATAAATAAATAATCAAAGTGCAATCGAGGAACAAATTTTAGTAAGAAAATAAACCAAAAATACTTAATCAAAGTAAGCAAAAATTATCAAAGAGTAACCGAGGAACAAATTTTAGTAAGAAAATAAACCAAAAATACCTAATCACAGTATTTAACCACGTGCATAAAACCTAGTACGTATATATGTCTAATCAGATTGATGTTGGGTTTATGTGGTTGAAACATAATTTGCTCAAATCAAATACGGGATTCTGATAAAAAGCGGGGGTAAAACTAGAGGATTTGTTTTCGGAGTGGTGCACACGTTCGCATATACAAGAGAGAAACAAGGTATCCTTCAAAGTAAGAGAGAAACAAGGTAACATAGCATACATAAGTGCACAGGCCCGAAATTATCCAAAACATTTCACATGCTTAAACTGACAGCTTAAACTAACCGTTCGCACGTGAATTTAGATGTATTAGATTTTAAGCCATCTAACATGATGGCAGTGTTGTTGTTGACAGGTTGATGTTGCTGAGCTGATAAGGCGAAAGTTGCAAACAATAAAGACGTTGGAGAAAAAAGCCTGCTTCAGAACAAGCACAAAGCTTTCTCGTACAACACCACAAAGCTTTCATAAGTCTCATATGCGCATCGCCATGACAAAAGTAATTGTTATCTGTACATGATAAGTGCAATCCTGAGAGTCCCATTTTTTTTTCTTCCAGTTATCCCCGAGCCTTCCTGTTAAGAAAGACGCCCATCACCATCAGACTACCACGATTTTCCTCTGCATATAAAGAAATCAAATAAGGGGGGAAAGTGAATTTTGCATAACAGAAAATTTCGATAAGAAAATATAATGCAACGGCTTGAACTTTTCAGCTCTTAAAAGTTGTACTTAATTCCGCATTTAACTTAACAGAAAATTTGAGCAATTTGCTCTTCATGATTATATGAAGCTTCTTCTCAGTCGCCAAAGAGAAGCCACTTGCTGGTTTCCTCAGCAGACAATTATCTGTCTTTGTTTGTGTTGCATTCTATCTCATCGTATCACATTCTGTTCTACAATATTTAAGAATCACCGTCAATAGCTAGGCATAGATCCGGGGTAATCCCTTGTAAATAGCCCCAGGGCTATTTACAAATAGCACGGATTGGGATTTAAAATCCTCCTATTTTCATCTATTAAACAATATTTAAGTACTTCAAATACTTGGAAAGCCTGCTTAAAATTGTCAAATAGCCAATATTTGTTTATCTACCCGGAGTCCATTCTTCGGAGAATTCAATTATGTTTCAATCATTCCTATATCCTATATATGACTTAAAATTTTCTTTTATTTGATAATCTTATTGGAAATCATGTAAAGACAATTCTTATTTGACATAGCTATTTGCGCAAGTATTTCACGATTAAGTTTCCGTTGTGCAAGCAAGATTGGTTAGATTAGCACATTTTTCTGTGGTTTATATATTTACTTATGCAGCTTTCTCGATTGCCTCTACATCAGGAAAATTTGGTTAATTTAGTTATTTTTGTTGGTATTGTATCAGCAATAATCTCATTTGTTTCGATGAAGAGGGGAATCCCTCTTCTTATATTTTTCTATTTTAACATCTAGGATCCAAACTGTATCATTGATAATAGGAACTGAACATTAGCGACAAATTTTTCTCGAATCTAATCGACTGGGTGTATTGTGTCGATTCTTTTGAGTAATATATCTAGAAATGCCTGGCGCTTTCTTGGGTGTATTGTGTCGATTCTTTTGAGTAATATATCTAGAAATGCCTGGCGCTTTCTTATTGACACCATTATGGACACAACTGGTACATTCCAAAATAACTCTCACTCGCATATCTTTACCCTTAGCCATGAACCCCCTTTGATTTTTTGTTTAATGAATAGATCAGATCGCAACTTCATATATGGCATTCAAAGGGATCAAATAGGAAATGATACCCTGAATCATATAACTAAAATGAAATATACGATCAACCAACATTTATCAAATTTGAAACTGCAGATGAAGTTCACATGTTTCTGTTGATTAGTACACACCATGAAGCAGGTGACATGTTTGTTAAACTAATGAAGTGCATGCAAGCCACAGTGTCCATCTATATTTTTGATGAACATGTAATCGTGGTTATCATATAGTTAAGTGAATGCCTAATTAGAAGATGAATCTTCTGCATGCTCTCTTTTTTGAAGCAAAGAAAATCTTGCGATGCAATCAGCCCATGCTTAGGAAAATTTTATTTTTATTTTTCAGCGTAAAATCATCTTAGTTGCTGAACTCTAAATTGTCCATAATTCATGCTAGTGATCTGGTCTCCCAAGCATGGAATGAGCTCATTAAGAGGATGCCTTGCCCTAGTTTTCACCATAGCTGTATTTCTCTTCTTCACATCTCCAACCTTCCACAAAATTATTTGTCATGATTTGTTGAGCCCAGCTTGATCTCGTGATAGTTAGGACCAAAGCAGACAACAGTTACATGAGATACCATGTGACTGATGTGCTTTGCCACTTAAAACTCCTTTTAACTTTCTTCAAGCAACTTCTAGATATTCAACTAATATCGAGCATAGGAAATGTTGTGGACATGAAAAAATATATGAATAAATACATTTTTCATAATGCTGTCTTTTTTGCCTTAGAACTGTACAAAAGATCTCCACAGGGATACAGGTATATCTAGAGGTGTATATGCAGATATATGTATAAATATAACCAATCAGCCAATAGTTTGATAGTGTTACATAGACCTTTGCATGAAAATGACTTTTGAGTTGAGATCATTTTATACGAAGCGTTGATGTTAAAATGGACATTGATATCATATTCATGTTCGCAATTTGATACAAGGTTTGGAAATTCTGTCTCATAAGGTTCAAAACACTAAATATGAGGTTCCAAAGTAATGATGCTACAGCTCACAAAAGCATTAAAGCGAAAACAGTTATTTAGAGGACAAACAAAATAGTCAAATAATATAGAAAATAATGAAGGATGTATAGTTAAGGCACCACTTGAGACTAGTTAGATAAGAAAATTTGAATGCATCTAAATTAAGAACTACAAGATACCAGAATTACATGAAAATTATAGGTAGTTCCATTCAGTATGTATCTATTGACAAGGAAAAGATCTGGAATAATTTTCATCATGTAAATGTCAATCTATCATACATCTACATTAAGAACTTTCCAGATTCATAGAGTAATTAAACATTGAACGGATGGTAAATTTGAATGCATCTAAAGCACAGGTAGTTCCATTCAGTATGTATCTATTGATGAGGAAAAGATCTGGAATAATTTTCATTAAGTAAATGTCAATCTATCATACATCTACATTAAGAACTTCCCAGATCCATAGAGCATTCAAACATTAAACGGTTAATAATTTAATTGCATTAGTTAGATTGTGTACTAGAATAAATCAACTCATCATATACTTTAACTGTAAACTGAATTCAAATTAGAAATAAAACACGCTTCTGATTTTGAAGAATTTATACGTATTGCTTACTTAGACTACATTGTTAATTTTGATTCCAAGGCTCCAGCAACACTGGCTTCTGTCAATGATCCATCTGTATCCTGCATGAAAATACATAATTAAAAACAGTGATGTATAGTTTAATATCATGCAGCTTCCACGTAAACTACCTCCATTCCCCACTTGATATAATCTGGTGACTCGCATGCCTTGTATTCATCAACCAAGTTTTCTATTATTTCTCTAGACTCATCAAATTCAGAAAGATCATTGTCCTGTTCAGGGAAGGAAAAAACTCAGTTAAAACAGAGAAGGCAATCATTTTCACAATCTATTACCCATTAAGTTCTTATCTTGTGTATGTGGAGGGAGTCCACAAAATATGGAATCAATATGGGATCCTTACCAGGTATTGAAATCAATACATGCATGCAAAAGGATGAATCCTCACCAGGTATTGAAATTAATACACGCATGCACAATTATGTATCACATTTATTATAGTATTACTGTATTAGTGCATGAGGCCTTCATTTGCTCCCCAGAATTTAATATAATATTGGTCTAAGTTGTCAAGCAACTGGAAATAAGGCCTCCATCTCTTCAAATAAATACTTCAGATAAGAATCTCATTATTGCAATAAATTAGGATGACAAACTTATGGAACAAGTCCTTGAGATGGAAAAGATCCCTACAACTGTAGATTGCACACAATCAAGACAGCCAACTAAGCCATCAGTTTATTCATTTTTATAATAAGATGAATCATTCACAACTAAGGCTTCTAACAAGATGAAAATGCAGATACCTAACCGAATATGCAGATGTTTTTGTCACATCTAAACATCAGCGGAACAGTTTGCCATTAAAACCATCAAACTATAGAAACTTTAGGACTCCAAAAAAATCTAAATGGAAACAAAAAAATCAGCTATCAATTAACCAATGAGATGTCAATGAAAACATTGATCTTGAGGTTTACGCCTAAATGCTATTTGTCAATGTAACAATGCCAAGACAAATACTTCTTAATATTCACAATTTACAGATAAAATAGGAAATTGCATGTGAAACAACTAAAAATTAGATTGTAATTTTCTAACTAATGCAGAGATCTAGGACAACTATTATTCCTTTAAAAAAATATTGTTAAACCAAAAAAGGTAAAATACGTGCAAATAATTATGAGGGAATGGCCTAATTTTTCTAAGCTTACAGCAAACATTGGAAACTTCCGATAATTGTCGAGGAAGGCTTGTTTTTTCCTTAGCTTCTCATACTGGCCCAGGCACTTGCTGAAGAGATGGCGTATGCTCGTATGATTTGCTAGCATTAAGCCACTGACCTATGAAATTCAGAAGTGACAAAAATTCATCAGTCACACATTGCATGACACTGTGCAACAACCAATAGTTTGCTGCATATTCACTCAAAATGACCAACATTGTCTCTACACCCACACATACATGCATGTATACACACATACATACATAGATGTTTGTATGACACACACACACAGACATGTTTGGATGGGGGTGTGCGTGTCCGGAAAAAGATATGTATGAGGTGGCATTTTATTTTGCTAAGTAAGCTACCAAGAGATACACTGATGGTGAGGCCCACCATGCTAGTCACATGAAGAAGTGGGTATCAGATGTCAAGTTCTTGGCTAAATGAACTATCAAAGATTGGTACTAGGGCTCACCGTGCTATTCCCATCAGCATAGTTGGACCTTACCACTCCTATTTCTTGATATCTCATTTTTAAAAAGTGAGATGTCAGCTCACGTCAGTTTGAACACACAACACACTCACACATTATTCCTACAGTGGAGATTGGGAGAAGGGGACGGAGGGAGTACAAAAAGGAAGCTAGAGGATATAACTCAATTGTCTAAAAATTATACAAACTGAAGTGGAGGTATACTTACTCTGTGTGTAGTTTGAACATATGGAGATTTTCTAGACAATGCAACCTGCAGTTAGTTGTAACAAGTAATCAATAAATAGGAACAAGGGAGCCAAACATAATAAACTAATAATTTGGTACACTATTCCAGTAACCTGAATGCTTGCAGGTCCCCACTCAATAAAATTAACAAGCTTTCTTTCACGTATCCTCTGCAGACTTTCATGTACCTGCTTCCAAATTGAGAAATAAACGCATCAATATGGGGTAACTATAACTGCTGTAGATATGAAAACAAAGGTGGAAAATCACATTTATAAGAAAACGAATATCTGTGAAGAAGAAAAAAAATACTAATTGCTAATGTATTAGTTTAAGGCATATGTGTGAAGGGATTAGCTGGACAGCATTCTGATCCTAAAAGTAGAATGATATTTCAAGAAAGTTCCTTAAAATTAGATAGGAAATGGTTCAAAATATTTGAAAAGAGCTATTAGGCCACTGCACAAGAAAAGCCTTATAAGACAGGTCCACTACTTCCTGCTGTCTTAACATTAAAATTTAAAACCACATACATTTCTCCTACTCCTGCAGAAGTTACTTTCTAAAGTTTCTTCTCAAATGAAATTTCTTACGTTTGATGTTGAAATTAGGTGACAAAAGTCTCATCAAAGAAGATTTACAAATCAGCAATAGATTCATAATATTTAAGGAGAAAAACAGCTTGCAAGCAATAGAAAGTTAAAGCACATGAAGATCCCATCGAGTAGCTGGGCTTGATGCATACCTAAAGTTACAAACTGAGATATTCTACAAAATGATCCGAGAAATTACTGGAAAATAATAATCATAATGAGTTTTCTTTTACAAGAAATACCTGTGTAGGATCCACTTCTCCTTGAATAATATTCAATATTGATATGTATTTTGCTTGACTAGCTTCTTTTGTGCGAGCATATGAAGAGACCATAATGTTTTTCGTCTACAGAATGCCGACAAAAAACCAATGACATTAGGGTGAATATAAACATAAAAGATTTCTGAATAACACAATAACCTGCCTGCAGTAGTCTTCTCATTACATCCAACACAGTAGTCTTCCGAATCACATTGGCCTGCAAATACAAGACGTCCCTAAATCAGAGTTTAAACAGTGTACATTCAGCAAAATTAGTGTTATCAGGATTGAGTTGTGTCATAACCCATTGCAGTTAAATGTCAGATTATGTTTCAGCATATGGAACATGCATACATATGAGAGATACTACATACGTATTAACGTATGCACTCTCCGCGAATAACTAAAAAATCATCGAGTGCAAGTCAGACCAACATAATGAACAGCCGACTAAATATATCTAAAAGAATAATCTTTAAATAAATAAATCTCTATAAAGATAAAACCTAACCTGGCGTTCCACAGTTAGTGGTGTATATCCCGTCATCAGAAAGTGGCATCTTGGAGTAGGAATTAGCGAAGCAAGAAGTCCAACCAAATCATTGTTCATATAACCGGGATATCGAAGAGTGGTCGTACTTGCAGACATAACTGTGGAGACCAATGAATTTGTTTGTGCAAATGTAGGATTTGAAAGATGGAGACGTTCTACGGCAATCCTATTCAAAGCCGTATTATCAAGAACAACAACACAATCAGCATTCAGAGTCAGGCGCTTTAGAGTCAAAAGTGAATTGTAAGGCTGGACAACCACATCACTAGTTTCCATTTGATTAGGAAAAACACTATATGTCTGAACTAGCTTTTTGCTGTAACGGTCATTAAGAGTCTCCAGTATATAAGATCCCATTCCTGCATCCAAGAAAAGGTACCAGACGTAATCAATCAATAAAGGGTAAAGTTGAAGAATACTTTTAGGAAAGTTTCATGAATGAATAAAAAAGAACATAAAGTCCGCTACAACTGAACTAAAAATGAGAATGCATGATTGACGCAGAAAATGAAGGGCAACATATGCCCAACAAGGGGGACAAAACTACTTAAGAGAACAAATGTTATATTCATAACATTAGCTGCATGAGTTTTACATCTAAGCTTTTAAATAGCATATTCACCGTTGAAACCACTATTTATTGGCCCCTCCATATCACCAAGTATGATATAGAAATGATATCTCTAGATAGATAGATTGCAGGAATATATTGAGAGAAAACTTCAAAAGACAGTGAGACTCGAACAGTTAAGGGGTTGAATGACACAAGGCATAAAGTCATAAACATATGGAGAAGGGTAAAAGTCAAGGAAAACAAAGAAATAACCTGATCCTGTTCCTCCAGCAATTGAATGACATAAGACAAAACCCTCAAGGCTATCACTTCCATCTGCCTCTCTATCAACCATGTCCATGATATCGTCCACGACTTGCTCTCCCTATTAAAAAGCAAGCAATAAGAATAATTTAACCTACATGAAAAACATAACATTGCTCTCTACAAAGTGACCCGAAAACAGTAAATGTTTAATCAGTAAAGGAGAAACAATGGCATGTTACAACTTAGTTTTAAGACCTTCAAACACAAGACACTAACTTCAAATATATTCTTTACTAACAACAATTAGGTTGAAGGATTTATTTGCATAAAAAGTTTGCATATCAGTCCGAACATCGTGTAGACAGACCTGGTGATATCCACTAGCCCAATTATTTCCTGCACCCCCTCCATGTTCTGAGACGAATATGTTCTCATGGTTGTAGAGGTTCCTGTAGTCACTGTTTTGAATTCCGTTGATAACTCTAGGTTCAAGGTCCATCAAGAGAGCTCGTGGTATGTAGTGCTGATCATCTGCCTGATAGAAGAAAACATCCTTCCTATCTCCTCCCTGCAGTAGAGCTGGTGATGATCAAAATATATGCTATCTAGTTGTTATATGAGTTGCCTATAAAGCACAAAGAAGAGTGTAAAAAGGTACGAAAGTAAATAACAAGACTGAGAAAAGTACGGCATGCATATCAGACATCCTTAAAATACAAATTGTCAAGGCACAAACCCAAGGCTATTGTGCATGCCACAGAGTTCAATTTCTAGGCTGCCAATGCGAAAACTTTTGAAATTTTATGCCCCAGTTAATAAATGAAACAGCTGTTTAAGACTTAACTACTATGGAAAAAAAACTCCTTAACTTGCCATCACTTTTCTTTTAAAAATTGATCTGTGATGTATGAGATCGATCCTCAAATCCCACATCGCATAAGTTAAATCACATTGCAGGTGGAGAAAATTTCAAATAATATAAGCAAAATGAAGTGAAATGTTGCATGAAAGAACTTTCATCATGACCCAGGATAATTGCTAAAAGGTCTATTCTCGTCAACAAACCCTGATCATAACATCACATCACATAAGAAATAATCATGCAACAAGCAAGTCAAAAGACATCCTTCAAGATAAAAATGTGCCATTTTCCATCTCGTGAAATATTCCTAACTACGAAATAGAACTAAGCAACGTTTTGATCAAAATAACATAATGTTGTAAATACATCACATTATCCAAACTTATACTGCAATAGCAAAGAGCAAACACAACTCTTCATGGCCTAATTAAAAGTACAAAATGGGCAATTCTATTTCATAAACTTTACACAAATTCAACGTAACGAAATAAATTTTCACTTGATTCATAGTGAACCAAACAACCCCAATCTTTATGCCCTAATCATCCCTACGCATCAAAAGATTAGCCTTTTTAACTCATCCATATCTCAGATTATATCTTTTTCTCCCTTTTCACATAAAAAGGGATTAAAATGCACAAAATACGCACCACGCCATCAAAAAATCCAACTCCGTGCCCTGATCACTCGAACCGAATCCGACCAATGAATAACCAAAACCAGCAAAAATGTAAATCAAAACACAAGAAGAAAAAAAGAAAAATAAAAATAACAGAGGCGGGTCGATTTCGTGCCTGAGTAGCGAAATCCTCGAGAAGTCCATCTTTGCCGATGCCGTGCTCGAGGCAGAGCTGCTTCCAGAACTCCATGCCGATCTGATTCCCGCATTGCCCCACTTGGATCGTTATGATCTCGCGCGGCATTTTTTTATTTTTTATTTTATTTTTTGTTGAGAGAGTAGGAGTTAGAGAGTTAGGGTTTTGATGGAGAGCTTGCCAGCGTTTTGGGGGATTTTAGTCGGCTTCGCCTCTCTGAAGTGAGCAGGCGGAATGATTTTTGAAAAGGAAGAGAGAAACGGGGGAGTCAACGAGTCATGAGCAGAGATTTTGTGAGCGAGTGGCGATTTATCCGTGGCTTGTTTTCAATTTTATACCTCAAAGTTTACTTTTAACACTTTGCTAGCCCTAAGGTCAATCTCATTACAGTTTGATACATCAAAGCATTTTTTAACACTTTGGTATTTTTTACCCTAAAAAGGTTCGTTCTAATTTCACGTCTGATTTTCTGTTTTAATTTTGTATTAGTGTTCTTTTTTTATAACTCAGCCCGTAATCGAACACAAGATCGTGAGAGTCATATTGGAACCTTCTAACCGTTTGGATTATCCAAGATGGGTTGTAAATGTAGATGTTAAGAATGTAATTTAAATTTAACCAAAAAAAAATCTAAAAGACTCTGAAAAGGGGGTATTAAGCCAGAATGAGATTAGAAATTTAGTGGTATCAAAATGTTTAAGGATAAGAGCCAGTTTGGTATTGTTGGAGTTTATAATAAGTTTTTTTATATAAGTAGTTTATAGAAGTAGCTTAAATAAGTTGTTGAATAGTCATTTGGTAATCATATATAAAAGCTATTTCAAAACACAATTACATATCTTTGGTAAAATTGTCCTTAAAAATCATTGTCAATATATAAAGACCATATATGATATATAAACTAAAAAAAGTAGCTTTTAAAAACAGATGTTGCTTCAAAAAGCACTTCTTAAACAAGAAGTAATTTTAGATAACCATGTACAATAAATTTCATCAAACACCATTGTTAATTGTTTCTTAAGAAATCAGAAGCATCCATAAAAAAGAAATACCAAGCTCGCCTTAAGTATCATGCTAATTTATCCCTTGGCATGTCCTCTAGCAAAATAGATAATCACATCATGCTCCTATTGTTAGCATTTTCTTAAGGAAAAGGCAATTGTGAATAGTCCCACATTGGAAGTTGAAGAGAAGTTCAAGTGGTTTATAATGGTTCACTTCCTAATGGGCTTTGAGTAATGTTTTGGGCCTACTAGTGTTTGTGCTCTTTCTCCACACACACGCGCGCGCACGCACGCCACGCCTCGCCACGACACGACACGCGGCACCGCACTCGGGTTTTGCTTCTCCAGCTTTTATTTTTTTTTTGTAACGGCAGCATTTATTATGTAACGGTAGCGTGATTTACGCCCAACGGACGAGGAGATTCAGCATCGGTTACTGGTTCATGAGGCTATATAAGGAGGCAGAGTTCATTCGGGAAAACACACAGAAATTCACAAAGAATTTCATAGCTCCCTCTTCCTCCTTCTGCTACTCTTAGTACTCAAAGATTTTCGGCTACATATTTTGAGGATTATTTTTGGGCAATCATCTTCATCTGAGCAGAAGCTCTGCTACTCGCGCCCGAGTATATAGGCCGGCCGTTTCCGGGGGGCTTTTACCGCTAGGGGGGAGGATCAACTACGCCAGGGCGACAGGCGGGTCCTCTATCTTCTAGGGCAGTGTATCACGACTGCACCTTGTTCAGGCCTGATTTTTCATAACTCATTTATTTTCAGTTAAACTAATATTGTTTATTTTGATAGCAATCGAGGATCAACTACGCCAGGGCGACAGGCGGGTCCTCTATCTTCTAGGGCAGTGTATCACGACTGCACCCCGTTCAGGCCTGATTTTTCATAACTCATTTATTTTCAGTTAAACTAATATTGTTTATTTTGATAGCACCTATAATCTGACATATGAGAAAACATGTATGAAGTGGCAAAACTTATTTTGGTGAACAAAGAACTGCTATATAATTAAGTGATGAAGTTTATTCTACTGGTCATATGAAAAGATGTCAGCATCATATTTTCTATGCATTCACATAACATTTTTCTAGATATGACAACCCTTTTTTTTAGAGAGAAAAACAAGGGATATACCATGTTTATTAAAAGCAAAAGTATCTTTACAAAAATAGGATATGATATATATCCATATGGATTAGTAGATAGAAAAAATAATTTCTCTGACTAGTCGGTGATAACCCTTTTAGGTGTTAAATACTAGTTGCAATCTCATTTTCGAAAATAACCTGTCAACATATATAACTAATAAGGCTCAAGAGATTTCCAGTGGGGGCACTAGACACATATACAATTGCACATATAAATTAATAACTTTATAAATATATATTATACTAATAGAAATCTACTTGTACAATCATCACAAAGATATCAACATAACTCTCTAAGAAGTTTATTTTCTTTTTTACAAATAATGTAACTACTTGTAAGAGATTGTTAATTTGATTTTTGATGCAAAGATAAAGTGTAGATTATAATTTGCAATAGTTTGATGGGGCGCCAAATAATATTTCTATGGGAGCACCCATTAAAATAGCAATATGTATGGGTGCAACGTTCCTCTACGCCACCTACTGTGGATCCGTCCTTGACCGTACTTTCCTTTGCACTCGCAAGGTGGGTGTTACTGCTCATTTATCTCTTGATCACTCATTTGTCAAAATGAATCGTCACCTTATACCATTTTTTAAGACACGTGACATGATGAAAATGAGTTTACATCCAACTTAGCAAAATAAGCTATCAAAATATATTGAGTAGTGAGGTCCATTTGAACCAATCTGACTTGCATGATATGCGCTGACATTGTCATTTGGTACAAAGAGATAAAGTGACGCGATCCATTTGCTATGACATGTACTGACTAATCTAATTCATCTCATTATTTATCCTATTGTGATAGTTACGTTGGGGATCTACGACACACCACTTCCTCTAAGGTATTAGTAGAAGTTTATTTGATAAGTTGCAAGCATTAATACATTTCCTCCTACATCATTATTCTTTTCAATATATCTATTTTCTTCTAATAATAAAGAGGGCAATTTGACCGTGAATGAAGGGTATTTGATTTGAAAATATGAAGAAAATCAATGCAACAAGTAATCAACAATCTAATTTACTTATATGTTTGTAATAAAAGAAAGGCTAAATTGCATTTAAATATCATAAATTTTTTTTTTCACTCTGTCACTTATATACTCTAAGTTGTATGTTACGGCAGAAAAATATCACAAATTGTAAAAAAATTGTCATGTTAATACTGTCTATCATGCAAACATGAAAAAAAAATTTTATCCAAATATTTCTCTATGATATTTACATGCTAAGTTTAGAGTTTTTTAACTATTAATATTTATTGTTACTATTAAATCAACCAAAAGTCTTTTTCAAACTCATCTTAGTTGTACTTTAAAATTGAGCTAAGATATGTCTAATGATAAATTTAATAGATATTAATTGTTAAAAATGTATAAATTAATATGCTATTGTTATATGAGAACATTCATATAAAAATTTTATAAGTGATACTAATGCTTCGGATAAAATATTTGACGTTGGGTTTGAAAGAGGAAGAGGAGAAGGAGGTTGGTTATAATGAAATGGTGGGTGAAAAGAGAGTTAGTAGAGCAAGGAGGAGAGATAGTAGGAGGAAGGAAGAGGAGAAGGAGGTTAGATTTTTTAAAAAATGTTTGATGTTTTGAGAGAGAAAGAGGAGGAATGTTGGACTTTTTTATGATTGAATTGTGAAGAGGGAGTGAGTAGAGCAAGGAGAGAGACTGAGTCGGAGAAAGGAGAGAAAATTGAGAATTGAGAGGAGAAGAAAATGAAGAAGATGGTGGAAAGGAGAAATGAAGCGTGAAGATTTAGAGAAGGAGGGAAAAAGGAGTGGGAGACACTAGGAAAGGTTGAGAACATGGAGGAGAGAAGAGTGGAATGAGAGAGCTTTTTTTAATTACAAGTTTTATAATATAGGGAGAGAGGAAGGAGTTAAATGAATTTATGGGGGATTCAACAATCTATATGTAAAAAATCCTTAATATTTTGCTTAATTATTATCTATAGAGATCTGAATATGCATCACGAGTTTGTCACTTTTTAAGTTACTAGTTAGCAGGGGCACGTGCAACGCGCATGCCAAATTTAGTTGGGAATTTATGCAAAAGAATGCTATATTTTATATATGCAGGATTTAGATTAACAAGGACTATATTTACAAATTTAAGTTTTATGTGCAACTTTTACAATAATAACCAGTATCTATGGATATAATAGTCAATATCCAAAGTGTTTGAATTTTTTTTGAAATTACTACATTTATAATAAACTTAAGGTAAAGTGTATATAAAGCCCTAATCTATACCTTTAGTTCCTCTTAAACCCCTAAGTTATTTATTAGCACATATCACTCTTCCCTTAAGAATTGAGAGGGGATAATTGCTAATGAATCAGCTAATTGAAGAAACTTTACTTTACTGTATTTTTGCATTTTTTTCCATGCAGTTTTTAAAATCATATATTTTGTTTCAAATCATATCGAATCTCTGAAGATAAGTTGTATATTAGCCTCTCATCGATAATCAATTCCTCTAATTATCAACGTCCATGACTTTATTGATTGTAGTACATGCCAGAGGATTCTTGTGCCATTAATGACGTCTTGCTACATGGATTTACCTGCACACTGAGTAAATTCCATGACTACCTCAGCCAATAGGATAGTGACACATGTACCGCCTGATCTGCTTAGACAATTGGCATAAATATTACCCCCTACCTTAGGTAAAGGTACTCATACCTTTATCTCCGCTCTGTGCCGCCAAACTTGTTTGATGAATCCTATTCTCTAAAACTACCTTTTTATCTTTGATAACTCTGAATTTTTAACACTTTAATACCATAAAAATTATAAATATTTTAAGTTTAATATAAAAAAGATTTACATTTTTATTTATAGTGATACCTTAAAGCTTATATATTTTAGCTTTGATGCTTTATCCCAAGCTTTGATGTATCCAAGTGTTCAAAGCGAACCTTTGTATGTCAAAATAAGTCATAAAATTTGTCATAACAAAGTGTTATAAAAAATTATATAGAATTATTGTAGATTTGAAGGAATAATATGGAATATTGTAGATTTTGGGTATCCAAGTTCAAAGAACTATGTGATATTAAAGTGAAATAAGGTGTTGTGGTCATTGAGGGATTATTGAGGGATTTCAAAGATTTAGGGAATTAATATGAAGTTACCTGTACATTTAGGGACTAATATGTAACATCTCTCTTTATTTGAGGCTAAAGATGTGAAGCTGAGTTTAAGTGAGGTGAAAAGCTATCTTATATCCGATTTATTATTTATGATTTTTAATTTTGATCTTATAGGGGCTGTTTGTTTCCTTTTTATTGAGAGGGAAAAGTGGGGAAAGCCTGTCAAAAGTGCAGCTTTTGACAGGCTTTCCACCCAAATCGCCTCTAAAAAAGACGATTTGGGTGGAAAGCCTGCCAAAAGCTGCACTTTTGACAGACTTTTGGCAGACTTTCCCCGTCTTTTCCTCTCAAAAAAAGAAAACAAACAGCCCCTATATAATCAGAGTATGATACCCTCTCAACTTGCGCCGTATTTGGATGCTCATCATGTGGGCCCCCATTCAAGTAGGAGAACATGGTGGAAAGAAGCACGTGATCCAAGAGTTGTGGGCCCCATTCAAGTTGGAGAAGCAGGCCGAAAGAAGCAGGCGAGCGAAGAGGTGTGAAAATTATCGTCGGTGTGGCTTTTTAGATTTAGGGATTAAAGCGGTGGAGTGATTCCACGGCTAGGCTATCTATATTTAACCAAAATTGAGCACACAGGTTTATTCGGTGTCCTGTCCAGTGTGGCCCAGGCAGAGGCCATACGAAGCCCAACTCGGCCCGTTACAAGGGTGGACATGGGCCTATCGCACGACCCGAGTAACGGTAACATGTTGCTCTACCTCATCATAGCTAACAATATTCCCATCCTTAATCCCAATGAAACTGTCTGAAACACGTCAATAGGGGCGGGACCACCTTAGTTAAACACCGCCAGCGTACCATTGCACCGCATCATCAGTAACGCTCGCTGCCGTCCTTTATATACCCGCCGCTATCGTACGCCCTCTAGCTATTCTCGATTCCCTCGATTTCTAGGGTTTCTGAGCCCCAAATCC